CTTTTCATTAATCCGAACCCCTCCATTAAAAAGGGTGCCACATTAAGGGAGATGCTAGGAGTGTAGACTATGGCTCATTTGGCCCTGGAGTTCTTATGTCAAAAGTCACATTATCAGCAAGACAAATCAAGGTCTGAGCTGCGTCTTATCTCGAAAGGCAAGACGGTCTGCCGCTCAATTGGTTGTTTGCTCTCCAGCTGTCCGTTTCTTCAGAACATGTGAGAAGGCAACTGTTCTCACGTTAGAGCCATCACTTTGGCTGCGGCCAGCATGAGCACACCTTATACATTGTCGCTCTAGAGCATGCTGGACTCTGCGGTAAGCAGCTTTGGCATTCGCATGAGTTGGGACAGCAAGAGCGGAGCTTCGCCAATCCAACCTGTCCAGACACATGAATGTTCTAGGTCTGATGTGCCCATGAATACATTCTAAGGCCAGTCGGGATGATGTGCTGGATCAAAGTGACAGTGGGAAAGAGCTGTGGGGCCCTTGGCATTTCATGCTCCATTATTGGGGATAATCTTCCTACACAAACCCCCATATTGCCCCTAAGAATCCATATATAAACCTCATATACGCTCCTAAGAATCCATATATAAATCTCATATACACCCCATACAGCCCTGTGCTTGGGCAGACCCTCAGATAAGGACTGTAATGTTGCTCTTCCGGGAGGGCTTCCACCTTGCCTCAGCCTTACAACAGCACGGGGGCACTGGGTGTAGGGGTTCTATAGGTATGTGGGGGGATTATATGGGGATAGCACCCCCAAGAATAGAGAATGAAATGGAAAAGCAGGTGGAAAAGGAAGTGGAAACTGGGGTTCTATAGTGGTTTGTATGCGCTACTGTCAGTATTGGCCTTATTAAGGGGCCCTTAACAGTGGATATAGGGGAGGATTATAGAGTGCAGTCATTTCAGATGTATAGTCGCCCTCAAGTAGATAGAATATGGCATTGGGTATATCATAATACTGTTGATGGATGAAATCTTGCACCACCTAGGGGCCCTAAATCATTGTAATTCCTAGGACTTTTCTTTTGGGGCTTAAGGTGGTGCAAGATTTCCTCCATCAACGGTAAGACCCCGTATACCCCATATTCTATCTACTTGAGGGGGACTATCTAAGGCCACCGAGGGTGCTCGGTGGATGAACGAACAAGCTGAAGAGCTTTCCAAGGCCGTGACAGCTGTTGAGCTTGGGAAGGTTTGGGGTTTGGGGTTTAGGGTTTGGGGTTTAGGGTTTAGGGGTTTAGGGTTTAGGGCTTAGGGAGCTCCTGGGCCACCGCAGATGGGGTCTCCATTTCATTTTCTGTCATTTTTTCCATTTGAGTCTCCATTTTTCGGGATGACAGCCCCATGTGACCCCCATAGCATCCCAACATATACCCCAGTGTGCCATAGGCGTTTTTTTTTCTTCTCATTTTCTTTTCCATTGTTCCTATGTGGCCGCCATCATATCCCTGTACAGCCTCCTAAGCCCTAAACCCTAAACCCCCCAAACATCCCCAAACCCTAAACCCCCCAAACCCTAAACCCCCCAAACCCCAAACCCCAAAACCTAAACCCTAAACCCTAAACCACTACAGTAGTTGCTTCAGCAGCAATGAGCCGCCAGCACTTCTTCCAGCGCTCACCAGGCAGAAGCCAAGATCCTGTCTTTAGCCAAGAGGGCAGGATCCCTTGTCGACTTCAGGGTTTAGGTTTCAAGGTTTAGGGTTCAAGGTTTAGGGTTCAAGGTTTAGGGTTTAGGGTTTAAGGTTTAGGGTTTTGGGGGGATAGTATTCCAATACAGGAGAATCAAATGGAGAAGAACATTTGGAAAATGACATCAAAACTGGGCTTATAGGAGTTTGTCGGGTTGATGCTTAGAATCCTGCATGCCCTTAGAGCACTATAGTACCATAATTTCCACGGTATTAGGTACCTTAGGGTCATGGCGGATTTGTAGTATCCATGGACTGTAGGATGCAGGCAGGCCTGTGATGCCCTAGCGCCACTGACTCTGACTTTATTTGCTCGGATAGAAGATGACCAGGGTAGCACACGACTTGAACTGCTTCCCCACGGCAACTAGCAGGCATTGAAACTGGAAACATGCTCGTTACCACTCTAAAATTCAAGTTTCCATTCCATTTCAATGGAGATGACGTCCCTAGATATCCCCCTAAATAATCCCTACATTAACCCCATATAACCCCTACGTAGCCCCTATGTAATACCTCTACCCTAAACCCTAAAATGCCTAAAGCGGACAGCCAGAACGGACGAGGTTGAGGCGAACTTCTGCGATGCGGAGACTTCTCTACAGCTGGCCGAGGCTCGTGGTACTCTGGGTAGGCCCCTGGGATATTTACTAGTTTCCCTAATGGCTTTAATAAGGGACCCTATATACTAATGTTTTTCAAAGGTTTAGGGGCCAACCCAGCACTGTAAAGCTCAAAGGGGTCTAGGGTTTTTGGATTTTTGGGGTTTAGGGTTGTTGGTTTGGGGGTTGAGGGTTTTGGCTTTGATATTTAGTGTTCAGGGTTTACTGGTTTAAAAGGGTTCAAGGTTTAGGGTCTAGGGTAAGAACAACCCCCCCTCCTAATATACAATGGTACTATATTGCGCGCGGGGTTGTTCCTGCCGTCGTCTGCTGTTCTCATGATTAAAAAGTATTCTTATAGCCTTTGACTGGGTGTGTCCAGGTCGCTGGATTCGTCGAGACGCTGCTGCAGAGTGCCGTTTGCTTGATTTATCATACTTGCCGTGGTGCTCTGATTTAGCATGTACGTAGGCGTTTCCTTAGAATAGGGGGACCGCAAAATAAATCCCCAAATACAACATCACTGAGGGACCCCAAAAAGTGCCTCAGTTTTGGGAAACCCCCCAACCCTATTCCCTAAACCCTATATAGTTTTGGGAAACCCCTCAACCGTACTGCCTAAACCCTAAATAATTTTGGGCAACCCCTAAACCCTAATCCCTAAAACCTATACACTGCGATGCGCGTGTCTAAGCCCTATACAAATCCTATATACCCCCTATATAACCCCTAAAAAAGGTACCCTAAACCCTAAACCCTAAACCCTTGACCTTAAACCAATGTGGTGCACATCACCTGTGCCAAGGTCGATAGCGTCAGGGTCAATGCCACCAGACTGCCAGCCATGGAGGGGCCTAGCTCCCAGCACCAGGGTTTAAAGTTTAGGGTTTTGGGTTTAGGGTTTAAGGTTTAGGGTTTAGGGCACCAGGGTTTAGGGTTTTGGGTTTATAGTCCCCCTAAAATAGATAGAAAATGGGGTATACCATTGGGGTTATATAGGGACAATGGAAAAGATAATGGAAACAACTATATTTATGATAGGGTATATATTGGGGTTATAGTCCCCCTTAAGTGCATCAGCTCGACAGTTTTCGTTTAAAGACAAGTTTAGAGCACTTAAGGAGAGAATCGTTCTAATTAGATTGAATAACCATGCTAGTAAGAATGCCCCCCCCCCGCAATATAGTACTATGAGATATTACAGGGACTATTTATGATTAGGGCAGGGGGTTGTGTTGAGTAGTAGGGGAGGAGATAATGGTCCAGCTTCGTCATTGTGCCTATCTGAGGCTTCGAGAGCGTGCGAGGAAAGCAGACGAACGTCCAGCCCCTCAATCCACATGCGCCAGAACACCAGAAAAGCTGCACGTGATATAGTTCTTATATAATCCCTATAATTCCCCATACCATATAATCATATAATCACATAATCCATTTATACCTTATATATCCTTATAGAAACCCGAGATTATATATAGCACCTAGACAAAGCTGCACGCAATGTTCCACCGCTTCGCTTCGCTTCTCCTGGGCCCGAGGCTTGCAAGTGCTGAGGAAATCAGTGCGTTTCTGAGCAGATCAAGGATATCTTGGCGTTCCGTGAGTGGCTTCCAGATGTTCAGACCACATCAGAGCCAGCTTGGAGATCCACATAGAAGGTCCGCAGATGAGAGGCGACCGGCTGCGGAGTTTCGCGGTCAGCTATGCGTAGCAGATTCTTTGCCATCGCGCTACCTTCAAGAAGTAGGGCCGGCAAGCGTAAGTGGATAAAACAGGCTGAGATTCCTTCCTTGTGCATCTGCATGCTGGTCCTTGAAGATCATGCCTTGCATTGTATGATGGCCTCGCATATGGGCACAAGGTTTCACAAGTAGATTCCACAACCAGACTTATCTTAATTCTGTTCTGGTCTTTAAGCCAACGCTGCAAATGCCAGCAAAGTAGCAGATTCATTCCCGAACAACTGGGACACCCATGACGAAGTGCATGTCATGAAGCGTAGAGATGTATCCAGGCAGCCAAGGGGAGGGACTGGCTTGAGGATTGTTATGGCTCCTCAGCATGGTCGAGCGCCCTCTTCGGAGGTCCGGTGGAACTCGTGGCCCAGCCTTGATTGGAGCCATGTAGCACCTCAAAACGGGACCTGCAAGCTGCCCAGGTGGACACCGCAGTGCCCCAGTAATCTTGGACGCTGGCCACTGCCTTCTGGATGGCGAGGATCCCTGCCCTGCATCGCCAAGGGGACCGAAGGCCTCGCCTGCCCACTCTGCTCAGTCCGCCAGCTCACTGGCGCCGCCCTGCCTGCAGTGATGGTGTTGCAGGAACATATGCACATGGTGCAAGTACAGCCTTTCGAACCCTGTGTAGCCTGGAAACTCAGGAACATATCGCCCAGAACGCAGACCTTGGTCCAAGCTATGGACTGCTGCAGTTTCATTTGAATGTGCTCGGGATCAAGTCCTAGCTAGAAACCATTGTGTGCTTGAGCAATGGGAAGCACGTCACCTAGGCCGGAGTTAGCAAGAATTCGGCCTCATAGGCGGTTACAATTTGAAGGAACTCCTGGGCCTACCTCCATTCCATGCCTTGTTACGCTTTTGGGGAAGGACCGCCTAGCTGGCATCGACATTCGACGCACGTTTGACCTGGACGGCAGTGGCTTCGTCAGCACTGCAGTGCTGAGGCCATCCACACGGGCTTTCTGCACTTCTTTCTGCCTGGTGGCCCGGTGTTGTTTCGTGAACCCACCTTGCTAGGCGCTCGCTATCCGCGTTTGACCCGCAAGTCTTCACTGCCACCTGATGCATTCAGCGCGAAGCAAGATCCAAAATTCTTCAAACTGTGGTTCAGGCATCATTTTACATTTGCCAACAGGTTTCCATGAGTTTTCCATGCATCCTCCCGCCAAACTGAGGCCCAGTGCTTGCAATTGATGCTCGGCCCGGTGCAAGGAAAGTCGGCCGCGCAGCTGAATGGTGTTGGGGTTCATGGAGTTGGTGGAAGGAAGTGTATGGACGTGTTTGTCCTAAAGTTTGGAACGACAGCCATCCTAGACATTGTCATGGGCGAGTCGTAACAATGGCACTGTCAGGAATTGCAGGCTAATCCAATGGACTCATCAACGCGGATGGTGCGAATGTCACATGAGAGTGATGGAGCTACTGTTCTCCAGAGAGGGCCCGTTTCATGATCGCATTTGCCCTATCACAATAGAAAGATGAGTGCAGGAACTTGCAGCGGCAGCAGAGACATTTGTAGATTTGCTGCATCGGGGTCATGAATTTGTTTTCATGCATTTTTGGCCTTGCTGTTGCTTTTTTCGAGCAGTGAAGGCCGGCTTGAACGCAGAGAATCGGCAGTCGCGTGCCGGATGCATGCATCTGTGTAAGGTCCGCATCCAGGATGTCTTCGGGCCTTTCTGGGAGCCACTTTGCCGCCGGGTGCAGCTCCTGGAGGTGGGGGTTCTTCAAGTAAAAGCCTTTCTCGAGGGAGGTTCCCTCAGCCTTCTTCACAACCCCAACAAAAATGCAATGTACTCACATTATTGTTGGTATTACTACTGTTAGTACTGTTATTCTTTTTATGATTATTAATATTACGGTTATTACTGGTAGTATTGTCATTACTGTATTACTGTTATTCTTATTCTTATTACTGTTATTACCTGAGCTGGGGAGGAAAGGCCCCCTGTCCTTTGTTGAGGGGCTTTGGGACTCCCTGGGCTTCAGGAAAAGCTGGCCCAGACCAAGCGGCAGTCGCAGAGGACGGGTAGAGAGGGATCTTATGGGAGGGGTGAGGGGGGGAGAGGGGAGGGGCGGTTTAGGGTTTAGGGTTAGGGTACTTATGGGGGTTGCAGCAGGGAGTGGCATTTGTATATATGGGGCTCTGGAATGAGGGGTTATCCTTGCCCTTTCGGGGTCCTGGAAATGCGCTTTTGGACGGGAATAGGAAGCTGTATCATGAAACGGCATGGTTCGTTCCAGGTCTAGCAGCTTACATGAAGCATGCAGCCCTTGAGCCCACAACATCAGCCTTTAGGGATCCCCAATGCCTGGGTAAGGAAAGGCCAAATTACAATTAAGTAACATGCTATGGTCACTTGTAGTTCTCATAACGGATAACACTAGTGGTTCGTAATGTGCCTTCCTAGTCCTAGACCTTTGATTCTCGGTTCTTGGGGTAATACATCCCTGACACCCCATATATGTCCCCTATATAGCCTCTACATATGCCTATAAAACCCCTAGAAAACAAGCCCTAACCCCGACCAGGCGACAGGTGGAGCTGGCGCAGACCGCACAAGATACTGGGAGAACTTGAGTTATGTTACCAGAATAGGGATCTATCATAAATTTGGGTTCCCTACGCCGCAAGCTCTAGACCCTCAACCCCGGACAATAAAACATTTTAAGCAGCAACCCAGGATACTGCAGATGCTTTGCGGCTGGCGAAGCAGGAGCTGTCCCGCTTGCAGACGCCGGGCAGAATCGGATTACTCTTTTGGAGCCATATTGATGAAATGTTTTGAAAGGGATGTAAGGGTTTTATAGAGAGTAGTGATTCAGGGGTAGGTGGACTCAGACAGCTTGTTGCAAAAGGGGGCAAAAGCAGGATATCTGGGGACTGGGTCTTCTACCCCAATCATGGAAAACTAAATGAAATGGACACTGGGTGCACATGGTCAATTTCAGGGGTTATATCGTAAGAGCTATAGCATGTTCGGGTTTATATGGAAACTCCCGTGTGCGAATTTGTGTGAAGTAGGCCGCTTGATCATGAAACATCCTAAAGCCTAAGCCTTAAACCCTAAGCTTGAGTTCGAGCCTGAGGCATGACCGTGGCAAGAGTTCTGGAATGGATGATGAGAGGCTAGGGCCGACCAGGTTTGGTGTTTAGGGTTTCGGGCTTAGGGTTTAGGGAGTTTTGGCACCTACTCAGCCATGCTCAAAGTGCGCTAGGTCTCTTCTGGAGCTACGAGAACGGCTGGCACATAGTGAGCAGCAGCGGAGTCTTGTGCTGGAGGGTTGCGAGGGCTGGTAGTTTCATAAGTACTGGCCAGGTGGTTCCCATCAGACTTAACATGACGGGCCAGTGGATTCTGTACCATGGCCCAGCAGCAGAAACATAGAGAGGGGAGCAATAGACAAGGTCCCCGAATCCAGTCCATGCTTCGCAGTGGTACTGCATCTGTGAGGATCGGAGGTTAGGACCCTAAACTCTAAACTCGAAACCCTGAACGCTGAGCGCTGAACCCTAAACCCCAAACCCTGAACCCTAAACCCTAAACCCCGAGCCCTAAACCCTAAAACCTAAGCAAGGAAGAAGATGGAAGAGCAATTGCGCAAAGCCACCAGGACGGAGCGCCAGGCTGGGTTTGCAGGGCGATCCGTAGTGGAAGGTAGGGTTGGGAGTTTTGGGTTTCGGGTTTAGGGTTTGGGGGTTTCAGGTTTCAGGGTTTTGGGTTTAGGGATTTGGGGTTTAGGGGTTTAGGGATTTAGGGTTTAGGGGTTTAGGATTTAAGGTTTAGGGGTTTAGGGTTAGGGGAAATCTTCAACAGATTGGTAGTTTCCTTAAATAGGGGTACCCCAGTATAGACCTCAAGATATTGTGGTCCTTATTATAGGAACCCCAAAATGGTACCCATAATTTTGAGAATCTACCATGTCCTTGTATACCCAGATATGCATATGTATATATATATATGTGTATATATCTCTATATAGATGTACATGTATAGACATATATAGATGTATAGATAGACAGATAGACGTGCACATATATATATATATACATGTGTATTTATAGAGCTATAGATATATATCCTTCACATCCTCCCCCCAAGGGAAGATGTTATAGGAGGATAGGTCGGGTTTTTGGATTCTGTCCCGGCCGTAGTCATGATTCAGAACATGTAGATAGATAGATAGATAGATAGGGCTTAGGGTTTAGGGTAGTTCCATTAAATAGGGGTACCCCAATACAGACTTGGGGTCAAGGGTTATCAAGTTCCTGCACTCCAGGCGCCGCCAAAGGCTTGCATGCCACTTAGCTACAGGGCAGCTAGGGCTCTAGCCATGCTGTCTTCATCAGAAAATGCTCGGGCTCTACTTGGGGGTTTCCCAAAATTAGGGATACTATTTTGGGGGTCCAAATAATAAGGACTATAGTATTTTAGGGTCTATATTGGGGTCCCCCTATTTTGGGAAATTACCAATTATGTTCCTTGCTTCTTTTGCAAGCGTTGCAGCAGAGCCACAAGACCCAAGGAAAGTGACGGATTGTGATGGCATCAAGGGAAGGCGAAGACGCTGCTTGGCCGCCAAATGGCATGATCTCACTGTCAGATGCGGGATGCACTAAACAAGCTCTTGCGTAACCCCGTCAGGTGGGACGCCTCTGTGGCAAGAGGAAGCGAGTGAATCTCTGGACCCTTCCAGCTTTTGGCATGTTTGCAGCATCGCAACATTGCAGTATTGGTTTGTAGTCCTCCTTAAGTAGATAGAAAATGGCTTTGGGTACATTATATACTAAGATCCCCATATACCCCATATTCTATCTACTTAAGGGGGACTATACGTTTCTACTCCTTGGATTCTGACTTGTCATTCTCACAAGACATCGCAGGGAGCAGATGGGTTTCCTTTTGTTGAGTGGGTTGGGTAGAGTCTGATACTGCCGCAACAAGAGGAAAGCATGTGGAAGACAGGAGTTGTGGAGTGGTGATACTTCTGGGGCCCCAATAATATCCCCAGTATGACCCCAGGTTATATAACCCCAATATAGCCCCTACAGAACCCTCAAAAACCCTAAACCCAAGACCCTAAACCCAACATAGAGCAAGGGCAAGACAAGTTGCCAGCCAGGACCTTGCGCAGCAGTTGCTGTCCTCGTCTGAGCAGAGGGGGAAGGCTGGCGGAAGCAAGCCATTCAACAAGGGTTTAGGGTTTAGGGTATAGGGTTTGGGGTCTAGGGTTTAGGGTGCAAGGTTGGCATTCGCAACATTTCGCAACATTGTGCACTTGGCTATATAACCTGAATATATCCCCAATATAACCCCTATATACTATGTAACCCCAATACAGCCCCTGTGCAACCCCAATATAGCCCCAATATAACCCAATATAACCCCTACAGAGCCCCAATATAACCCCTATATAGTCCCAATATAAGGTAGCAATCTCTTACGGGGGCATGGCCGCTTGATGGAGGCCTTGGAGCAAGAGCTGCGCCGCGCCATGACCAAACTGGACGAGGTGTTGGGAGGGGGCGGTCCGGGATTTAGGGATTGGGGTTTAGGGTTTAGGGTTTAGCGTTTAGGGTTTAGGGATTGGGGTTCAGGGTGCCCCTACATAACCCTTGTAAAATTTGTGGAATTCTTATATCAGCCCTGTATAGCCCCCAATGTAAACGCTTTAATATACTGCATGTATGCCTGCTGCAGAGTTGCAGGACATCTCCCCAATACCTGAAAATCAAATGGAGAATCAGACAGCAAATGAAATGGACACTGTGTTTATTTGAGGTTGTATGTGGATAATCACCAATTGAATGTCGTAAATTCCCACTTCATTCTGAACCTTCCGTCTGATTGTGCGTATGTGTATTCCTTCTCTATTTGTCTTGCTCTCCTTCAGTCCGTCCATCTCCGAACTTGCATGTGCAACCACCAGCATGTTGATGTCATGGAGAAGTGTGAGCTGCCCAAGACAACCCAAACAGAGGACAGCAGTCCTGATGAACAGAAGCCTTAAAGCATCTGACTAGTGTTGCAGCTTTGGCCCGAAGAAGCTTCTGACCGCAGCGGTGTCCCCACTCCTGACCTCTATGGGCTCGATGAGCAGCCGCTCTGGCGCCGGGGAGACAGTGCCAGAGACTACTGTAACCTCGAGCCCTTCATCTGCCGGCCGACGCATGCCTTGCGTGCCTTCGATGAACTTGGTCCTTTTGTGCGGTTGTTTGGCATTGCGAAGCCTCGAAGGTGTTCATCAACCATGGTGGCGGTCCTTTGCCCCTGCTCGGCAAACAGCCTCAAATCGCCAAGTTTTTGAAGGCCTATCCTTCATCGCTGCCTGCTGTGCCCACCGCCATCCTGGTGGTGACCGCACACTGGGAGACCAGGTCCACATTAAAGGTATCTGGAGGGAGCTCACACTCCCTGTACTTCGATTATGGTGGTTTTCCCAAGGCTGGGCAGTGCCGTGATCGATGCCAAGACTTTGTAGGGTATTATTACTATTATTACTATTACTACTATTCTTGCTATTATTACTCTTATTACTACTATTACTACTATTACTATTATTGTTATTACTATTATTGCTACTCTTGCCTGGCAGGAAAGCTATGAGTATCAGTACCCAGCTCCTGGAAGCCCAGATCTGGCGAAGCAGGTCATATCCCTCCTAGCGCAGAGGGACATGCAGTGCACTGCTGATCCTACACGCGGCTGGGACCACGGTGTGTTTGTGCCCACGACGCTCATGTTCCCGAAGGCAGATATTGTTCACTTTGCTGCGGTTGATTGTGCAGTAGGGCTTGTGGCTGCAGCACCGGGAGCACGAATACCACAATCTTCAGGCGGACGTTCCTGTCGTTGCGCTGTCCCTATACAGCAGCCAGGCGCGTCCTTGCATGAAAGGTCCTTAATTTGTCAGGCATCAGTGCATCACTGTGGGAGCCTACAGGACGCTGCAGCGCACTTGGCCGTCGGTGAAGCCCTGCAGCCTCTTCGAGACCAGGGTGTCCTAATCGTTGGCTCCGGAGCCTCTTTCCACAACTTCGACTACTTCTTTGTTTCTTGGAAGCAGGACGCCATACACAATCTGCCGCTTCTACTTACTTCTATAATCCCTATACATTCCCAAATAACCCAAAATAGTAGTTTTCATTTTCCTTTCCATTATTGCAATATAACCAAGTATTACAGGGACCAATAATGTCCTGCCACCTGAGGCCCGGGACCCTACTGTCCGGCAAGAGGGAGTGAAGCACTCCAAGCAGTTTGACCGCTGGCTGACGGAGACGGTGACCTCAGAGGGGCTGTCGGCGCAGGCATGCGGAGTAGCTTACTGGTCGTTAGTAGGGAATATGGGTGGTTTCCAAAAGTGGTGTCCTTTTTTTTGCACCCATAAATATTAGGTTCTTAGTAGAATCTATAACCAAAGGGGCCCTTAATTTTGAGAACAGCTCATTATTGCATTCCCTACTAACAACGGCGCAGTCTGGCGTAAACGCGCGCCAAACTGAGCCGCCTATGCAAATTCCCGATACCTGACAGTGTTTCGTACACTCGGTAGCAATGG